TGGTTAGTGGCTGAAGTAGGTGTGGGTGTGACGCTGTGAACCCCATAACCTGTATAGCTAATATCCTGCAGGATATCGCGCACCAGATCCCACTCGCAACCCCCTATTATACACGTAAAGTAGCACAATATGTTGTGAAACCTTAGTTTAATGGACACTTTCAAACTGTTTTACTTTGTATTAATATTCACAAGAAATGTTTTTGAACTCCTGACAATTAAGCTAGCAGCAATGGGCTCAAAGACAGCCAATCCTGTAAAGTTGTTTCAAGTTTTGCACAAATTAGGATATGATTTACAGTTAAGGTGTGTAGATGAAAGTCTTACACTGTAAAATATAAGACATTGTGCACAATCTCTTGTAATGAGAAATAAACATTTATTTTTATTATAGTTTTCACGATGTTCAAAGTGATGCTACTGGTCATCTCAATGCCAGAAGAACCAACACAGTCTCACTCCCTGATAGTCCAATAGCGACGCTTGGTCAGGGTCCTTCGGCATGCAGTTGTGACGCGCAGAGTCTCCTTCAGCTTCATAAAGTTGAGAGAGCCTTTTCTTATCAAGCTCCACATTTGTGGAATCAGCTTCCAGTTTGTGTTCGGGCGGCAGACAGCCTATCCGTTTTTAAGAGTACGCTTAAGACCTTCCTTTTTGATAAAGCTTATAGTGATCAAATAAAATAATCTAATAATAGTGCATTGACGTAGATACGTTGTGCCTCTTCACCTATACATTTTAGTTTTTACTCTTTCACTTAAATCCTAAAAACGTAGATCTTATATTTAAAACTTTATCCAAAAACCTTTCCCCTCTCTGACCTCTCGAGGTTCTATTAGAGGGNTCTATCATTATTTTTTTGTATTTTCGTTCTCTCTCCACCGTCTGCTTGCGCCGCACATCGGAGTGTGTGTGTGCGTGTGTGTGTAAACTGCCCGCCCCCTCGCAAGCAGACGGTGGAGAGAGAACGAAAATACAAAAAAATAATGATAGAAGCATTTTGCAGTCTTTTGCATGTTAGAAACGGAGTTGGCGACACTAAAACTGCAATATAACGTTTGTGTAGCAATAATACACATGACATATATCTTTTAGATGTCTCCAGTACCAATAAAAAGACCGATAACGTCGGAGCTTAACGGTACCACGGTCTTTAATAATTCAGCCCCGGGCCGGGGCCCGTTTAATACCAGGGCTCGGTACCCATCCCTAATAATTACTAAGTAGCAGATGAATGCTGCGGGATGAAGCTGTCTCTGTGTCTGGTGGCATTAGTCCGGATGCTGCGGTAACGTCTGCCAGACGGCAGCAGACTGAACAGTTTGTGGCTTGGGTGATGGGGGTCTTTTATAATCCTGAGGGATTTCTTCCTGAGCCGCTGGGAGTATAGGTCTGACCTCCATGGATGGCAGCTCCGTCCTGGTGATGTTCTGTGCAGTTTTCACCACCCTCTGTAAAGCCTTACAATTGAGGGCGGTGCAGCTGCCGTACCAGGCCGCGATGCAGCCAGTCAGGATACTCTCTATGGTGCACCTGTAGAAGTTGCAGAGTATCCTGGAATCCATTTTGAACCTCCTCAGCCTGTGGAGGAAGAAGAGCCGCTGTCGAGCTTTCTTGGTGATGGTGGTGGTGTGAAAGGCCATGTCAGGTCCTCAGTGATGTGGACCCCAAGGAACCTGAAGCTGATGACTCTCTCCCCCGCAGTCCCATTGATGGCGATGGGGGCNGTCGCGGAAGTCCTTTCTTAGGGAGGCCTAATATCTTTTCTGGGCGATAGTGGTTCTCGGCTCATTTGCAAAGTCCCCAGCCGACGGCCGACCGTCACGCCCGCATGGCCGCATCCGTAGGCAAAAATGTTTTTGTGCGGTCTAGTCTCTGTCAAGCACCTGGTAATACACTGTACACCAATTCGATACTAGGCAGAACTGTTATTTCTTGGAACTTGAACTGACATCTCTACAGGGCAGGGACTCTGATAGTACATGTTATTATCGTCGCGATCGGTTACTCTTCGCACACGATGTATCACTGTCAAGAAGAAGTCAAAACTTTGTCTCAAGTCTCACTCTAAACGTCGCCGACAAACCATGATGTTGAAGACGACCGAAGGGGAGTTTCCAGGGTACTTCGGGAGACATGGCCCCGCCCCCCCCCGATCCTCACGCCTGCGCAGGTTCTGTTCGGATCAAACAATGTTTTAACGCCGCGTTTGACCACCCGACCATGGGACCTTTCTTTAGAGACGCACGTCTTTATGTTCCCGACCACCCGCACACTCGCAACGACCTTACCTCACTTTACGCACACCAGAGTGCGGTTTCCGAATCTCTTTGAACCCCTAAATCGGAAACGTGCTGGTAAATGTACGTGTTGTGTGGGATTATTGCTGCTTGATGGTCCTTCACTTTGGGAGTTTTTCTAGTCCTCCCGGCGGACTGAACTCTTTCTGTACCTTAAGTCAAGTCATACTATGGTAGAAGTGGAGATTGGAAATCTTGTAGTTGTACTATCGACCTGGTCTACTATACTAACCAATGTTTATACCTTGACTTCCCTCGTCAAATTTGCACAGAGGAGGGGACGACAGAGAATACATTAAGAATGTCCGAGGCTGCACCAATAGATGAGTCACAGACAAAATGCACAGGGGTGGGACCGAAAATAAACGGGTACATAAGGATGAGAGAAATTCACCTTGTTAAGTTACCAAAAGTGACTTCGGATGGTTGTAGTCCTGAATAATGTTGACTCACTACCTTTCCGCTGTGTGAACTGTTTGACACAACCCTCTCTTTCTGCGTGTAAGACGACCGTCGTCCTCCGTCACACTCTTTTATTGACGTAATTCCCGTGTTTTCCTTTCCAAGTATTCACAAGTAGTGAGCATGTGCTCTTTTTCCCAGTCCAGTATTCGCAACAATCCCGGACGATTGTTCGAAGGTTTTCTTATAAACTAACTATACAAAGTAAGTGACCATGTGTTTTAATTGTGAGACGTTTATCCGTTCATCCTAAAGAGAACCAACTAGGTCCGTTCAATTATAGACATTTACTACTCAAGTTTGCACGCTTGTGTAACATTGTCAAATTGCAAAAATGTTTGTTCCAGGAGGTCTGAGTACTGGCTGCCCCGGTTTATCCAATACAAGTCGCAAATATGCCTGGGATATCCAGTGCAAACTTTAAAAGCTGGAGATCACGAGGCACCTGACGTTTACGGAGCTCCAGCCATATTAAGTGTTTATTGGGGGGAGGACGACCTTTCCGCGGACTTCTACACCGCATGCCCTGTATCAAACCGTAAGTTTACGAAAACTAATCTAAAGATCGGCTCTTCACAACCTACCAACCATGAACACCAATCTTGGTGCAGGTACCACCGACACACATCCCACTCAGATATCAACTCCACTCTACATTCAGCACTGCTTTCTCACTAACTCCAGACCGGCGTCCTCTTGCAATAAGTGCCGGGTCAGCCAGGTAACATTGACAATCGCCAGTTGGGAGTTGCCCCCAGAGTTGCAAAAAAGTATTCATCCTTTGTGGGTATAAGGGAGTGACAGTCTCTATAAAATTCGTCAAATAGACGTATGAGTCGTGTTTTTTTTTGACAAAAGTCAAAATAGGAACAAATTAATGTTGTTGTAATTTAACCAAATTTAACACCTGAGACCGGAAAGCTAAGAAGGTCCCTTGTGTTAAATAAAAAAGTCTCCAAAACTATCCGATTTTGTAGTTTGATGGGGGTATTAGGAGTCGATTAGCAACCCTTCGAACCCGACTAACCACAAATCCGCGGCCGTTACGGCACTGACCACCACCTCCATACCACAATCCGACGGCTACACTATTAGGCTTTTTTCGTAATTTTTCTCCCTGTCTACTCCTATCGCAAATAGGGCTCACACCCGAAACCGAAAAGAGCAAACCTTTCGTACGTCTTATTGCGTACACATTATGGTGCCACAGCCGCGACGCTAACGTCGTCATAATGCCTAGACGGCACCAAGAGCGACCCACCACCCCGCATTCAACCATATTCTCGGGACCTAATCTTCCAGAAGATCATGTTTGACCTTCTTTTAAGGGCGGAGATCTTGACCTTATGTGACTGCCCACCCCTAGTATTTGCATAATAGCTCGTTAATTTGTTCGTAGATTTAGCGCAACAGTCGTGTTATGCGGAGGAAACGTCCGCACCAGCTTATCAATCTAACACGACTTCGAAAATGGTAAACTAGGCCTATCCCCTGTGTGCCTTGGCAAGTCCTCCATGGATGGCAGCTCCATCCTGGTGATGTTCTGTGCAGTTTTCACCACCCTCTGTAAAGCCTTACGATTGAGGGCGGTGCAGCTGCCGTACCAGGCCGTGATGCACGGTCAGGATACTCTCTATGGTGCACCTGTAGAAGTTGCAGAGTATCCTGGAGTCCATGTTGAACCTCCAGGATACTCTGCAACTTCTACAGGTGCACCATCGTGGGTGACCAATCACGACAGAGCCGGCCAGCTAACCAATCAGACCAGACTGGGCTCTGGTTTCAGACAGAGGGTGAAAATAGGTGCTGCAGCACAGGCAGCATGAGAAAAATAAAGAGCTTTTTGAAACATTAAAGCATGTAAACATGTCACAGTCGAGTTAAAAAATATTAATATCAACCTGAAAATAAGCATAAGAGGGCCCTTTTAAATGAATATGGCGTGTAGTCATGGAAGCTTAATGCATACCCTACATTTCCATCTAGCACAGTTATCTTCAAGCCTGCGGGCCAAACTTCCTTTATTGAGAACCGTGTGCAGACAATCGCTCTGAATTTCATGTAGAGCAATGTTAAATTCTGGCATGTCAGAAAATATTCAGTGTGTTTGCTGTAGGCTGAAAAGTCGGTACAGAGATGCTGAGGCAGAGAGATGGATAGTGGAATTAGGGATGGAAAAAGAGGGATACAAGGGACTGGAGACGAGGCCACAGCTGTGAAGTAACAAGTGTCTCTGTGTTCATCCTCTGGCATCTGGCAGCCAACCAGATATCTCTCCTCTGATTCTGTTCATCTCTCTGCTGCTCTTTATCGCAATGCCAAGGTTTTCAAGAGCCACTTCAACACCACCTGCAGGTGCCACACAACTCTTAATTCAACTCTTTAGAAACAGATTGAGTGCTTTTAAGATGCATTGATTTATCAACATGTGAAAAAAGGTTTTTATCTATTCTTCCTTAATCAAAAAATGCAACAAGAAATACTTTTTTATGGTCCCACATGTTGCCTCCTTTATAATATATGTAAAATAATTAAATTAAAACACATATGACATTATGTTTAGAATATAAAAAAAAACGAAAGAACACAAACTTTGGAATATTGCGGGAAAAACATTTGTATGTCCGTCAATTTGAGGTCAATATTATTTGCATAAAAATACAGGAGTTCTATGGAAATGCTGGTCTTTTTTCTCATCAATGGAGTCATCTTTCATGCAATTAAAATTGAGTGGGCTTCTTTGTTTCATCATATCAAGCTCACTCTCCAGGCTTTTATCAGGAGTAGCTGCACACCTGAGAGCACTTGACACCCTGATTGAAGTTGCATCAGCTGTTTCTCCAGAAACAAACACAGGGGACAAAAACACAATCAGCACTCAATGATGTCTAATGAAAAAAACAAGAAACAAGCATGTAAAAGAGAAGAGAACATCTGAAGTACAGCCCAATTACACAACTGATACAGGTACACACTTCAATTTGTACTAACTGTAACATCCTTTGTACTACGAGGTTTTTATTCCCGTTTACCTTTCAGGATTCTTGGAAATGAAACTAGTCTCACGAAAAGAAATTCAGTTTCTCAGTTATCATGTTTCAGTGTGTATTTGTTTCAGTGAGAAAGTGTCTCAATGTGGACTAGTTACAGTCTAAAGTCTTTAAACTATTTTAGTCTGAAGCTAGATGAGGATGAAGTTTCTGCAGCTTCAATCTGCACTCCTTACGGCCCATCCACACGGCGGCGTGCGTTGAAGCTTCAACGCTTCTGCCCATTCACTTTGAATGGGGTGACGTCACGCTTTGCCGAACTGCATTGTGGGAGCGTTGCTCGCGTTGCTCGCGTTGCTCGCGTTGCTCGCGTTGATCGCTTCAAAAGTTGCGCAATGTTCCACTTTTGAAGCTTCGGCGGAAGCGTCAGCCAATCAAATCATATACCAGTACAAGCTCTAGCCAATCAAACCGCGTGCTTGTGTGTCCGGGGCGGGAGATTCATGTGATTGGTTGTTGGTCGAGTTTCAGACAAGCTCACCGGCAAGCTTCAACGCACACCGCCGTGTGGACGCTGCATCACTCTCTCTGGTGTTGATTCATGATTAATGACACCAACTTGCAATGTAGAAATGTGGGTTTGAGTGCTGCCTTTGGTATGTCACACATGTGTGTATGATGTTTTGCATCGATTTCAACTTCAACAAATCAGAAGGGAACACCAAGTGAAGTGAGCCCAGTTGGAAGCTAAGCTAGCTAGCTATACGTACAGCCATTTTGTAGTCTGCACGTCTTAAAGGTCTGACAATTTTTTTGACCTTACAATTTGAAACTACAAATTTCACCTTAAACAAAGATTAATTAATAATAAAGAATGATTTTAAAGTACACAAAAATGATTTATTATTTACAGTATAAAAGAGTTTAGTCTGAGTGGGTTTCAGTAGTGTTTCTAAGGTGTCTGAAAACAGCTCTGCCGAACAACAGCAGACAAAACACAGCTGTCATGGCGGCATATGATTTCAAAACAGTCTTGATGGCTGTCGGGAAGTCAGGATGTGATGTCACTGACTGTCCCCGCCCCAAGTGAGCGTAGACCAGCAGATGTATCTCAGCAGCCTGTTGACCCTGCAGCCAGCAGTAATAGTTACCTATTAAACAAAAATGACATTTTAAACAACTTCGAATGAAATAAAATGTTCAATAACATATTTAAGTATGAGCTATCACACCAGGTTGAGCTGAGAAACAGGCAATCCAAACAGAAAATGGATTCGAGGTACACACTATAACACAAATACATGGATGATCTATCACAGCATGAGTGCAAAGGGGCTGCTACATATACAGTACACTGGAATAATGTGGTAATGAGAGACAGCTGTGTAGGCAGCTGATTGAGTTACTGAGGTGGGAAACTCAACAGCTAGTGACGGCAGGTGGGGAACAAAACGATAACATTTTAGAACAAACACTGGAAGGGGAGCGCGCCATTTTGTGCTGGAGCGTGGAATCAATGCACTTAAATGCATGACTAAGTTGACCTGAATTTGCAGCTTGTCCGTAAAGTAAACAAAACATTGGCTGACGGACTCAGGTGTAGTTCCATTAAAGTGAACAGTATGCAGTATACCTGAGTCCTGAGTTTTTGCAGGTGTAAACACCAGGTGGTGTCCGGTGTCTATCATCAGCCTGGGGGGTGTGGTGCTGAGGTTACGACCTGCCAAGTGTTCATCTCTGTAGATGGGTTTAGTTCCTTGGTCCCAGGCCACGGCCATGTTGGGATGTGCCCCGGGACAGCCGAGGGTCAGCACACGGTCTGCAGGGTGGCTCAGGTAGAACACTGGTACCTCCACTGATGAGGAAGCAGAACTATAATACAGAAGAAATAAATAAAATGATGTTTTGTGTACGTGGACATTAAACATGAATCCCATTTTGAACCTGATAGCAATAATATGCTCCGACATTGTCAGCAGTAACATTTTGTAACTCAAACAAGCTATCTTTTGGAGGATGTTGATTTACTGTATGATGCCTTGTATCAGGTCAAAGTTATATCTGAAAAACGTTTACATTTATGACAAGTAAAATGGAAATAGCAGAAAGAATTTCATGGTCCTCAGAAGATGACTCCTAAAGTTTTCTTTGAGCAATCTATACTTTTCTCTGGCACTATCATCAGGCTAAATATGTAAAAATCTAAATCTAATGCAGCTATTTTCTGACATTTACTACCCACATTATTGCTCTCTAGTTAAAAACATATCCCGATACTTCATGACAATTCCTCATGCCCAATCTACATGCTAAAATATAATGGCCTGATTGCCAAGGAAATTACTGATTATTTCCGGACACTTTTACATAACAGCATATTAGTAAGGCTTCACGAAGCAGTCAGCTTATCATCTATTCCCTGCAGCCCTTTTGAATAGTTAAATGGCTGCATTTAGTATATAATGCTGTATTGAAAGAGCTTTACAATTTGCTTCTCATTTACCAATTCACAATGATAGCAGGTGGTCTGATCGTCGGGAGCAATTTCTTCACTTCAATGTGTTGACTACCCACTCCACATCCTGTCTATCTACATCTATATTCTTATCTATGTACTTACTTGTACCCAAGAAATGCCATCAGAGAATGGATTTTGGAGCTAGTAGCTTGAGTTTGGCAGGTAACTTGACAGCTTTTGACCTCCAGCTCGGCTCCAGCTCTGCTTTGTTTCAGTTGTCCAAACGCCTTGGGCACTGCCCCCGAGCCGCATGAGGCGACCGTCTGATTGGCTCGTCTGTAGCGGACATGCAGGTAGAGGGAGTGGACGTAGCAGAGTCCCACGCGAACCTGCTCTCCAGCTACGCCACAGCGATCGCAGACTGTCCAGGGCCGGAAGCTGGTGAAGACCTGGTAAAGAGGCTGAGAAGAGCCGAGTCCTTGACTTTCTTTCTTTTTCTTGCTCCTACTTTCATGAGTGAGTCTACAAACATAAAACTTTGAATTAGACTCACCTTAATCAGTGTTTCATCATGGATTTGTCCTTTACCCAAATTCAAATTAATTCCATTAGGATTATGGTTAGGGTTAGGGTTATGCACTTGAATGGAGACATTCACTATAACACTGAACATTTTGCAATAATTGGTTGTTCAGTATGCTTTAAAATGTATGCCATGTTAATCCCATATTCCTGTCTTATCTTTGTCTAAGTATTACTATTGATAATCGACTTTAGCATTTTACCACAATGTCTGATTTCCAATAAGGTCCCCGTCATTGAGTCTTTCTCATCACCTCGGAGTAAAGCTTAGCGTGCGGGCCTCCTGGATGTCCAGGTCATAACCGTAGAAGAAGTCTTTGTGGGCGGAGCCACAGATATAAATGCCTGAGTCGTCGGGCCCCGCTCTGAAGATCAATAGGCTGAAGAGACGGATAGAAAATCGACTCCTCAGATCGCCGCTGTGTGGGACGCTACGAAGGTCCAGCAGACTGTTGCCATGGTGATCAGTCAAGGCTCTGGTCTCCTTGGAGCCGCCCAGATGTTTCCTAAAGAACCACACAACCGATTGGATCTGAAACACACAGGGAACCAAAGGTATATATGCTGATGGTAGATTATCTTTTTCCCTTATATCAATATCACCTTTTTTTAATGTTTTGAAATCAAATTAACCAGATGTCCTCTTATTCCCTATTTTTTCCTCTTTTTCCTCGCTCCATTTAACCGATTTCTTCTTCTACATATTTGTTTTGTTTTCTGCAAATCCTACTGATCTATACAGCTTATAAAGGCTGTGGATTTTAGCAGCAGAGCAGCTAGATAACAAGTCCAGCCATTTACACAGCTGGTATTGCACAAAGAAAAGATGATAGGATGTGTTATCTTATCATGTTATATAACTGTGTGATTATGCTAATACATCATACAAATTCTTGTTTCTGATTTTGGGATTATAGGTCCTGTAAAATTGTACATGTAACTCTGGCATTCAGAGAATACATTTAAATATAAAATATTATAATACATGCATTAATATGCTGTTGCACACACCTTTTGGTCTGCAATTTACAAAACCAATTATTTCTGGGATCCTTTTTCCGCGGATTAATAATTCTACAAGCTACCATCAAATACCATGTTTTTTGGCCTAACATCCTGAGCCTTGTTGAACCCATGTCCACACTTTCAACAATGAATTTTATGGGCCTTCAAACGAGCCGTCCGCCAGGAAATCTGTGATGTCACAACATATAAATCAACCTGTACTATTCTTTACAGTCCAAGTTGCAGCGTATGTGAATGACATTAGCTGACAGGAAGTAGACATTAACCCAAGCTCTTACCTAGCAATGCAATTCCGTTAAAACAAGTTAAAACCGAGCACATCAGACAGAGGGTGAATACAATTATTTGAGACGTTATTAAAGCATGTAATCATGTTCTGAAACCCAAACCTTGACGTTATGGTTGTTACCTGTTCTGGTTTGCAGTGGCAGGGAAGCTCCACAGTGACTCCGGCCAGGTAGGCTGCGTTGGTGAAGGTCAGGAAAGCAGGACAGGGTTTTCCAGCAAACACATCCTGCTTATCCTCCGGAGCCTCATAGCTCAACACCTCAGGACACAAGATGAGGAGGAGGGGGAGGAGGATGGGAGAGGGGGATGGAGGAGGCATTTGGCTTCTCTGAGAAGGAAAATGTTCTGACAAGTTGCGACCTATATAAAATACTCATGCACAAACCCTGAGAAACCTCCAGAGTATTTGTTCTGTCCTATTTCACATAAGTTGAAATAAGTTGTTTTCAAAACAAAACAGCTTTGATGGAATCTAATCAGATCACCAAGGACCCGTCCCCTGTTGTCAACGCAAACATCTTAAAGTTGAGAGCAGTCTTATTTCACAAACACACCCCCAGTTTGCCAATTTCTAACACTTTTGTCTTTTGTGACATCATTCTAGTAAGTTATAACTAGAATAATTAAATGTCCTACTTTTTTCCGAGCTGCCGTACAGAAGTATGTGGTTTTAAGGCTCTAGGGATTTTTTGGTTTGATATCTACAGCATCCTGCAGAGATATTTCAGATCAGAAAAGCAATAACATTGTTTGCCTTGGAAAAAAAAATAGAAGCCTTTGAACCAAGGTGGAGCGAACAGCTCATATAACACACTTAAGAGTTGATATGAGTAGAGCGTTAGACGTCCTGCACACCTTAACATTGCTGCAGGATGAAAGCTGCAGGAGGTTGTTACTGTGACATTATAAGGTAGGAAAAAATGAGTGCAATGAAGCGGCTCCCTGCTGAGCTGCAAGTCCGTGTATCAGTGGGCCTCCAGCATAATGACTGAACACACTTCTGTAAAACTTCACCGCCTGGAGACACAAATAAGTACTGGTCTGTAAGCTGGCAGTCTCGGCTAAAGGCATGCATTGAAAGAGGATTTCACGGTGTGTGTGTGTGTGTGTGTGTGTGTGTGTGTGTGTGTGTGTGTGTGTGTGTGTGTGTGTGTGTGTGTGTGTGTGTGGTTACATTTTGAGAACATTAGTTTCAGGAAAGGATTTCTCTTACCGAGTGTGTCAGGGCTGTAGGATGACTAACCGTGTGCTCAGAGGGGTAAACACTTCAGATGGCCCCTTACAGTTTTCAATTAACTAAATTAAATACAATTTGATATAGTTGACCCTGGATGTTAAAAAAAAAATTCAAAGACATGTATGTTTAATTTTGTAACCAGTACAACAATAGTCCTTAACAGGGGCGGATTTAGGAATGTAGGAAATCCGGGGCTAAGCCCAGAATTTTTAAGTTGTTGAGCGGAGAGGGGGGGGGGTGCTAGTGAAGCTCATGAACTGTGAACTTGACGGAGCCTCGCTGCGGGGCTACTGCGCGGAGCGCATAAAGCTGAATCTTCACGCTAACGAACGATCACTTCTTCTTCAGGGCAGGGAAGGCTACGCAGTACGCAGGCTACTGTCCCGCAGCTGCTGCCTCTCTGTTGGACTCCGGTACTGCATATTACTCATGAGACGTTTTTAAAAAGAAAGTTGGTTTAAGAAACTATCCGGGGCATGAGCCCAAGTAGCCACCCCCTAGCACCGCCACTGGTCCTTAAAATGAGACTCGGTGGTTCAGACATTGGATTATAGTAATTATAAAAAGAGGCAAAAAGATATCCTTCATAGCAGGTCATTTTAAAACTATTCCTTACAAATAAATAAAGACGAACATTTTAGTAAAACATACTTATTTTCAATTTCATTGACACGTTTAAGGAATGTAAGGTTGATACCAGTGGCGAACCGTGACTTTTATACCTAGGCCCCCTGACCCCCACCCCTTCGCTCGAAAAAACAAAAGAAGAGTTATTACGTCACAACGTATACTTCAGCGGAAAATCAAAAACGGCCCGGGGTTCAAAACGCATCAATGACAGCGACCCTCTACCGCACAAAACAACACCTGTAAATAACCCAATTTGTGTTCTTTGAAATTGAAAAATATATTGCATTGTGTTTGTTACTTGCGTTGCAGTTGTATATATGTCTTAAGTGTAATTTGGCTTGGCTTCCTATTTTGTATGGACATGCTTTTNTGTGTCGGTGTTGCTGTGTGTTGTGTGTGTGTGTGGGTGGTGTGTTGTGTGTGTGGTGTGTGTGTTGGGTGTGTGTGTGATGGTGCGAAATTTCTCCCAACTACTATAAAAACTAACCCTGACCTCCCCACTACAATAAACCGAGGGTTCCGGGAACCCGGGACGTACCATTAAAATTGAATGTTCCGTCGGCGGTCCTCAGGAGTTTGTGTGTGTGTGTTGTGTGTGGTGTCGTGCTGTGTGTGTGTGTGGTGGTGTTGTTGTTGTGTGTGGTGTTGGTGTGGTGTGTGGGTGTCTGGTGGTGTTGGTGTGTGTGTGTTGTGTGTGTGTTGTGTGTGTTGTGTGGTGTGTGGTGTGTGGTGTGGGGTGTGGGTGTGTTGTGTGTGTGTGGGTTGTGGTGGGGGTGGGAGATGGAGGTAAGTTGGCGAGGTGAAGTTTCCGTAAGGGTCATCATTCTATCAATTTCATCCCTAGTATTCGTAATACCCTAACGTCATCTGGAGAACGAAAGTGAAGACCGGAAATGTTGTGAAAATTGACAGAGAGAAAAACTACGAGGGTGTTATTTTGTGTCTTCCGTGCCTCGAGGTAACAACACCAACACCCTTAGGGGTCGTCCGGTTCAAAAAAGTGATACCAGACTCGGTAAAGAAATGTCCCCCGCACTATTTTTAGCTTTTACGTTCGTCGTACCCGTTTATACCAGTTATGGACATAGACACCTCACCTATACACGACGTAAGCATCCTGCAAGGAGTGTTGTCGTTTTCTTGGGGGACCTTCCCTGTTCCTCCTCCTACTTCTGTACTACTTCCTGAAAAGTTTCCCGAAGTACTTCTTCTGTACTACCCTTCCTGTACCTACTTCCTGGTACTACCCTTCTGAGGCCCCGAGTACTACTTCTGTACTACTCCTGTACTACCTTCTAGTCTCACTTCTGGGCCGAGTACTACTTCGTACTACTTCGTACTACTTTGTCACTACCTTCTAGGCCGAGTCTACTCGTGACTACTTCTGAGGTCTGAGTACTTACTTCTGTACTACTTCCTGTACTACTTCTGTACTACTTCTAATGGCCGAGTACTACTTTGTACTACCTTTCTGTACTACCTTTATCTGCTACCTACGTCTGGAGCCCGAGTACTACTTCTGTGTACTACATTCTGTTGTACTACCGTTCTGTACTACTTCCTGAGCGCCGGAGAGTACTACTTCTGTACTACTTCCTGGAGTCTGAGTACTACTTCCTGTACTACCTTCTTGTACTACCTTCTGGTACTACTTCTGAGGCCCGAGTACTACTTTCTGTATAACTTCCTGTACTCTCTGTACTACGTTCTGACGCGACGAGTACTACTTCTGTACTACTTCTGAGTCTACCTGAGTACTACTCCTGCTACTACTTCCTAAGTCCCCGAGTTACCTACTTCTGTACTACCCTTCTGAGGTCTGAGTACCCTACTTCCCTGTAATACTTCTGTAACTACTTCCCCTGATACTAACTTTTGTAACTCACTTTGGAGTTCCCAATACTACCTTTGTACTACCTTCCGTCTACTTTGGTACTGACTTCTGTTACTACTTTGGAGCTCTGAGCACTACTTTCTGAACATAACTTCTGAAGTCCGAGTGACCCTACTTCCTGTAACTACCTTTCTGACGTCGAGTTACAACTTCTGTACTACTTCGAGTAGCGAGCGCCTTGTCCTACCAATCCTAACTAGTATATGCATATCTATCTATTCCAAACTACTTACGAAACGAAAATCCAAGAGGACCTACATACATCATGGTATTAAACCTAAAAAACAAAAGGAGGAATCACACGAACAGACTAGAGAGGCGACACAGGAACTTAAAGGGAGCAGAGCACATCGCAAAGAGCGGGAGTGACCTACAGAGCTAAATGGGATTAAGCCCACAGTGGACAACGGGAACCAACAAAGACGTCGACGGGACGGTCGCACCGACCAGACACACGCGGACCGCGTAAGGACGGAACGAGGACCACATAAATCAGAACAGAAGGGGAACCATGGAGGTTACAGACAAGCACGCAGTACAAGTACCAGGGCGACGATGGACGCCAGATACTAACAGGTACAGGACGGACGGACAAGGGCAGACATTCCAAACAAGGACAGACACCACCCGAGGGGCCCAAAACCTAATAATCCGTATATTATTTATTAGTCCAAACTCCTTAGTACGGTACTATATATCCCCCTGTTATTAGGTTTGTTATCAGCAAATTTCAACCCTAGCTGCTATATATTTATACGAGTTATTCTATTAATTAAACAATCTGATGGGCCATTCTTACTTTCTCTATACTTATTTTTATTCGCCTGTCGACATAGAACAAATAACCCGATACCGGATCGCAATAAACACCGATACCAAGCCAACACACCATATCGAATAAGAAAATAACTTTTACCATAATAGCAATAGTGATAGACAATAGACTTTCGCTCGTGAGACATTTATTGACAAAAAAAAATTTAGCGGTGCAGATGACCACGGCGGTACTTCAAGCTCGTCGTCCGGTAAGTGGAAACTAACAATAGGGCAATACTTCTACAGTAGTAAAGCATTTATAGATTCTTATCTTTTACGAATAGTACTTGCAATAGAACTGTACAAATAGCATTGGTTCGAGGAGGCAAAGGATTGAAAGATAATAAGATAATTTTCCTCTAGCGAGCGAGAGAGAGATGAGACGACACGTCTGCCCCCCGCCAGCCGGATTAGTCCTCTGTGCGACGCTAGAGAGCGAGCGAGTGGGCTGGTACGAACGTCCGACACGTCACCGTGTGGCAAGCACGCGACAAACCGAGAAGTCAGGGTGTGTGTGTGTGTGTGTGTGTGTGTGTGTGTGTGTGTGTGTGTGTGTGTGTGTGTGTGTGTGTGTGTGTGTGTGAGAGTGAGACACAGCTTTGTCTGTTTCCTAATAGGTTCAAAAGACTGTAGCCGTGTCCCCATAGGTGTGGCTGTACTGTAATTGCAGTGTGTGTGTGTTAACATGCCAGAATAAGGTATGCAGGTTCAACATACACTCTATCATTTGCTAATTCTAATG